GTCAGATAATAAGTACATTTCCCTTCTTTTGCATAGTATCATTCTCTCCCATTTCCTCCCTCCCATCTCCACCTATGAGGTGCATAGTTTACTTTCACCAATGTCCAGTGCAGCCAGTGGGCTCTGCTGCATTTTTCCACCTATTTTCCCGATTCTGTGTCCTCCCCACCTTACCTCAGATGTCCATGTGTATACACCGAATATGAGGTGAAGAATGCAGACATCAGAAAACATAAAAACAAATTAAGTAAAGGTCTTTTGTTTCCTTATCTTTGGCATTCATCTCAGTATGTATATTTATATGCATATAAAGAAGTGCTTGAGTATTACAACTTAGTGACCCTTTTGGTCTCACTGTATGGGAGTGTCTAGAATCCTGTATAATTTGTCATGTCCCATTGCATTTTAAATCTAACTTCTGTGTATCAGGGAGAACATGTGCCATTTGTCTCTGATCTTGGCTTATCTCACTTAACATGATTTATTCTAGTTCCATCCATTTTCCTATGAATGACAGTATTTTATCCTTTCTAACATCTGTATAAAATTCTATTAAATATAGGTACCACACTTTTTGGATCCATTCATCTATTGTGGGGCATCTGGGTTGTTTCCATATCTTGGCTATTGTGAATAGTGTGGCATTGACCACAGATGTGCAGGTGTCCTTGTTACACCCTTGTTTATAATGCTCAGGATAGATGCCTACGAGTGGTATGGCTGAGTTGTAAAGAAGGTCTGTGTTTAGTTTATTGAGGAACCTCTAGACAACTTTCCAGAGTAGTTGTACTAGTTTACATTTCCCCCAGCATTGCAGTAGGGTTCCTTTTTCTTTACATCCCTGCCAGCATTTGTTCTTCTCAGAATTTAGAATATGGGCCAATCTAACTGGGGTAAGATGTTATCTCACGGTTTTGATTTGCATTTCCATTGTGTCCAGAGATGATGAACATTTCCTCATGTGATTCTTTGCTATTTTCTCTTGCTCTGAGAAGGCTTCCTTAAGCTCCCTTGCCCATTTAGTGATTGGTTAATTAGATTTTCAGTAGCTTCTTTTGAGAGACAGAAATTACCACCTAATGTAGGAGGGGATACGATGGGAAACTACTTAGTTAATAGTGAATGTTGTACTAAGAGTTCAAGATGCTTTGTCTTGTCTTGTTTTTTAGCAATATTGAAAACTTGCAGTGTTTCTTATTTTTATTTTAGTCTCTACTGATAAGTTCAGAAAAAATGATATCATATATTGCTAATATCATACCAAACAATTGGTATTCAGTGATTGTTGTGGAAGATAGAGAAAGATGGTAATGTTCAGAGGCCCTGGGTGTAACCCTTGGCGGGAGGGCGGGGGGCGGGGGGGGGGAAGGAGAGAATAAGAAAGAGAAATAGTAATTAGAAGAAGTTCAACAAATATTTGGAGTGCTAACCATGCTACAGACACTGCTAGCTTTAGACTCCTACCTTTAGAGTAAGGGAAACAACATTAAATACACAAAAAATACGATTTTGTTTGTTTTTTTTGTTTTGAAGTTTTCAAACCCAGGTCCTTGTGTATACTAAGCAAGTGATGAACTCCACTACATCTATACCCTAAATAAAATTTTTATAGTGTTGTGAAAAAGAAAATCCCAAAGTGGTATATAAGAAAACATGACAATGGCTGGGAAGGTGGCTCAGTGGTAGAGCGCTTGCCTTGCAAGCCTGAGGCCCTGGGTTCGATTCCTCAGCACCACATAAGCAAAAAGAAAAAAGCCGGAAGTGGCGCTGTGGCTCCAGTGGTAGAGCGCTAGCCTTGAGCTGAAGAGCTGAGGGACAGTGCCCAGGCCCAGAGTTCAGGCCCCACGACCGGACCCCCCCCCCAAAAAAAAAAAAAAAAAAAAAAAAAAATGATGCATTAGGATTGGAGATATGGCTCAGTTAATAGAGCACCAGCCAATGAGCAAAGTGTCAGGCCCTGCAACAAAAAAATTAAAAATTAGAAAAATAGAAAAGAAAATATGACACATCTTGATAGTGTCAGTATTTCTCTAAATTTATGAATAAGTAGCATAAACATAGGTAAGTTGTAGAAAATAAGTTGCAGAACTATAGATGATATACATACCACTCTTAAGATTTAGATATAGCATTGGGGCTTGAATTCAAGGCCTTGTTTTCTTCCTTTGCTTTTTTGCTCAGGGGTAGTACTCGTATCACTTGAGCAACACCTCTACTTAGGGCTTTTTGCTGGTTAATTGGATGTTAATAGTCACTTGGATTTGTCTGTCTTGGCTGGGTTGGAACTGCTATGCTAGGGTTACAGGCTTGAGCTATCAATGGCTGGCTTCTCTCCTCTTTCTCTTTTATTACTACATGCTAATTGTGTAAAGGAGTTTAATTGTGATATTTGCATATCAACCAATTAATCCCCTCAATTGTTCTTTTTCTTCTCCCCCATCCTCCCCTTAAACATTTCATAGTGGGTTTTCAGTCAACTCTTCCCATCCTTGGAGTCTGAGACCCTTCCGTCTTCCTCCTTCTTTAAGGTGTAGGTCCTTGAGGGTGTTTACTTCTAGAAGTGAAATTCATTAAAATTGCAAGTCTGTACTTTTTTTTTTTTGGTACTGAGGTTTGAACTTAGTGTTTTAGGTTTACTTAGGTATACACTCTACTACTTGAGCCATTCCTCTAGTCCTTTTAGCTCTCATTATTTTTGAGATAGGTTCTGGCTTTTTGCCCTGTACAACCTGGACCACAATCCTCTTATTTATATTTCCCTCTATAACTGGAATGACAGGCATAAGCCACTGTGCTTTGCTTACTCCTTTCTTTTTTCCTTTAACATTGACAAATGTTTTTGTACTCATCTCTTTATTTTTTGTGAGAAAATCCCACAACCCACAAAATTCTTAAAATTCAGGGTCTGGGCATTATCCTTGAACATTTTTGTTCTAGGCTAGTACTCTACCACTTTAAGCCACTGCACTATACCAATTATCTGGTGGTTAATTGTAGATAAGAGTCTCTTGGACTTTCCTGCCTAAACTTTCTTTGAACTGTGATCCTCAGATCTCAGCCTCCTGAGTAGCTAGGATTACAGGCGTGAGCCACTGGCACCTGGCTCATTATATATCTTAAAATTTTGAAGAATACAGTGGTCATTAAGCTAATCTGAGGTCTTCATTGTTAAGGCTTATTCTTTGTGCAAGAGCTTACCCTTAGATCATATGAAAACAGTGAGCTGAGGGAAAAAACATTTATGAAACAACACAGCTATGATTTACTGCCATCCAACTTATTTATCAATAGCACATAAGCTAATTGGGAATAAGGAACTAGTCATTGTAGCACAACAAACATTATGTAGACAAAGTGTTGTTTATATTCTATCTAAATGTTTCACACATATGTACTATTTTCTCAAAATGTGTAAATGTTGTTGTGATTAATAATAAAAGATGAGTTAAAAAAAATTTTTTTGGCTTTATGCCAGTGGCTCACGCCTGTAATCCTAGCTACTCAGGAGGCTGAGGTCTGAGGATTACAGTTCAAAGCTAGCCTGAGCAAGAGAGTGTGTGAGACTCTATCTCCAGTTAACCACCAAAAAACCGCAAATGGCACTGTGCTCAAAAGTGGTAGATCACTTGAGTGAAAAAGCTCAGGGACAATGCCCAGGCCCTGAAGTTCAAGCCCCACAACCAACAACAAAGTAAAACAATTTTTTTTTGCTGATTTCATGTTAGATTTATCAGTCAAGAACTAAAATGTCTGGAAGTTTGGGAACTTTTACTTGGAAGTAAAAATGTAGTATGCTAGAGATTACTTATAGAATATTAATAATTGTAGGAGATAAGAAAAAGTATGTTATTCTAGCAGTAATGCATGGAAAAACAACTAACGTTGATCTTCTGCTAAGTGTAGAAGCACTGTGTTAAGTGTTGTATGTAGTTTTCTCACATACTCATCTTTTGTTAGTTATTTTTTGGTTGTACAGACAAAGAATAGGGGGCTCAGGGCAACATGTTCCAGATCACAAAGTCAATCTGAGACTGGCAGGTCTCTCTACTTTTTTTTTTTTTTTTTGTCCAGTCGTGGGGCCTGAACCCTGGGCCTGGGCGCTGTCCCTCAGCTCTTCAGCTCAAGGCTAGCACTCTACCAGTGGAGCCACAGCGCCACTTCCGGCTTTTTTTCTTTTTGCTTATGTGGTGCTGAGGAATTGAACCCAGGGCCTCAGGCATGCAAGGCAAGCGCTCTACCACTGAGCCAACTTCCCAGCCCTGGTCTCTCTACTTTTGCATTACTTTGTTGATTCCCACATGGTTCCTCATATAACTCCCTAGCAGGTACTCCTTTTTTTTTTTTTTTTTCCCCTTTTGGTTGGTTGTGGGGCCTGAACTCTGGGCCTAGGCACTGTCCCTCAGCTCTTCAGTTCAAAGTGAGTGCTCTACCACTTGAGCCATAGCACCACTTCCGGCTTTTTCTGCTTATGTGGTGCTGAGGAATCTAACCCAGGGCCTCATGTATGCAAGGCAAGCATTCTACCACTAAGCTACCTTTCCAGCCCCCAGCAGGTACTCTTAAATAGAATTAAGCAAAGTTCCAGTGTTTAAATACTTGACTTGATTTAATCTATTCATTGGAACACTGTGTTATTGATGGGAGCTAGAAATGTTATAAGTCTTGTTTTAGTGGATTTTACTTGGGGTTATTAGATCTACAAGAAATTAAATTATTTGTAATTAATGTCATGTGTCTGCATCTTTAGTACTCTTTATGAAGGAGATGACAGACATGTAGGGGAGGCAGTGTTTTATTAGTGGGAAGCTTTGAGTGCTATCACAGCCCTCTGTCTATAAATTAAATTTATTACTGATTTAGAATTAAATTGTAACTTTGGAGACCTGCCACACAGTGTTTTCCTTTTTGTTTAAATGTTGTTCATTATCTCAGATTTTCATGATCTGTCATCTTGTACTTTCATGAGTGAGACTTAATTTATTTTTCTTTATTTGTTTTAGGAAGACACCAGGTGTTGTTGTTGGCAGTTTTTGTGACTCCATTTATTGAGCTTCGTTCTGATTTCTCCAAATTTCAGGAAATGATAGAGACAACTTTAGATATGGACCAGGTATGAAAACGCATTAAATTTAGGCAGCAGAATATTTTTGAAAACTAAAAGGACAACAAGCATAAAGTCACATTAGAAAAAATTCAAATTTCTCTTTTTTAGTATCAGATTTGGTACTTTTGTGTAGTATCATTCTAGACAGTGGATGTAAAATTAAGTGACAGAAAATGAAGAAATAGGTTAGATGAATGGTGTTGGTGATCAAACAAGGGCCTTTGAACATGGCAGGCAAGTTTACTGCCACTGGGTTATATATAACCTCAGCCCTAGGGTTTAAAAAAATAATAATTTGTTTCAGTGAGTGAAAATAAGATGAACAGAAGAAATGATTGAGTGTAAATGGCTTTGTTAAAGGAAACTTCTGTTTGTTTTTTGAGACTCAGCTCTGCTAGTGTAGCCCAGGCTGGCCTTAACTCTTAAAAAAAATTTTTTTTTTTTTTTTTGCCTGTTATGAGTCTTGAACTCAAGGCCTGCGCACTGTCTCTGGGCTTCTTTGACTCAAGGCTAGTGCTCTACCACTTGAGCCACAGTGCCACTTCAGGCTTTTTTCTGTTTATGTGCTACTGAGGAATTGAAGAGGGGCTTTAGGCATGCTAGGCAGGCACTCTACCACTGAGCCACATTTCCAGCCCTGGCCTTAACTCTTGAATCCTACTGCTTCAGCTTCTGGAGTGCTGAGATTATAAGTCTGTATCACCAATCTTTAAAACTTACCAATAAATGATAAACAATTGCATTTTATTCTTCAGTATTAATAAGGAAAATTAATCATTGAAAAAGGAAAGTTACAGGTAAGTATGGGGTTTTTGTTTGTTTTGTTTTTTGCACAAGGACTGGTGCTTGAATTCACGTCCTCTTGCTCTTGCTTAGTCTTTTCACACAAGATTGGGACTCTACCATTGAAACATACTTCTACTTCCCACTTTTTTTTCTAGTCCTGGAGCTTGAACTCAGGGTTTGATCTTGTAGGTTTCAAAGTTTAGCTCAAACTCCAGTATCATCATCAGATTTGCACTGATAACACATAGCCAAATTTGTTTATTGCCTGGCCATCTAGGCACTTCACTTTGAAAATTTATTGCTTTTTGTAAATAAAGAATGTAATTGACCTCAAAGTGAGGATGTAATTTTTGTTGTTGTTGGTATAGGGTTTGAACCTCAGGGCCAGGGTGCTGTCCCTGATTTTTTGCACTCAAGGTTAGTGCTCTATGACTTTGAGCCATGGTACCACTTCTAGTTTTCTGGTGGTTAATTGGAGGTAAGTCTCACAGACTTTCCTGCCCAGGCTGGCTTTGATCTACAATCCTCAGATCTTAACCTCTTAAGTAACTATGATTATAAAATGTGAGCCACTGGTGACCAGCAGAATAAATTATTTCTTTCCATCGATTCTTAGCTTTTCTGAAATCTTGTACAAGTCTGTGACATGTCACTGGAGAATATTGGGCCAAAAATGAAGACTGTTGAGTGAATATTAAAATTTGTAGCCTCTTTACAGTGTGTGATTTGCACACCCTAGATCCCCAGGTCCAAAAGAATTAAAAATGCATATATACATCCTATGTCAAGTATAGATCTTCTATTGAAGTCACTTCCTAGCTATTTTAATTTTTTTCAGTGTGAGATAAGTCCAGTGCTTCGCATATTCCTGCTGCCATATCACTGAACTATAACTGTCCCCGTGTTCCCTCCTCCTCTCAGCCCCCTATCTTTTTTTTTTTTTCATGCTGGACCCAGGGATTAAACTCAGGACCTAGGCTCTACTACTTGAGCCACAGCTCTATGTATTACCCAGTACTATGACAAAAACTAAGAACAGAAGGGTGGTCAAATCTTGAATAATTTGTTATACCTGCCCCTCTTTTAAGTGATATCCTTATTTTTTTATCTTTAGAGAAGATTTATGACAACTTAGTTTTTTCAAGAGCTAGATATGGTAATTCAGGAAAAGAAAGTCTTTTCAGAGTGTATAGCTCAAAATAATTTTTATGCCATTGTGGTATATTCTGGACCCCTTAAATGTTGATACTGGGCCAGTAATATGTAAACTGTGGATATCTTTCCCTTTTTTTCCCCTCTGAGGAAATAAGACTTTCATGTTAAACTTTAATCAGTTAGAACTCTTTATTTTTCAGAACCCAAAACTTAGTAATATAATTAATAATCCAGAGATATGACAGGCTTTATTTTAGTTTTCTTGATCAGAGTTGCTCAGTGATGTATGCAAAGGACCTAATTCTTGGTTTCTTCCATTTTAAAAAATAATTTTAATTTCCACCAAGATCAGTTTTCTTTTGGCCCATTAGTAATTGAGGCCACATTCCAAGTAAAAGTCATTTGCCATTTGCCATGATGGGACCAGAGTAGTGATGTGGCCAGGGATTTGGTCCAAGGTAACCAAGCTTTAGAGTCAGGTTCCCTCTAGGAGATAACCTGTATGAGTACTATGGGGAAGAGAGGTGGGAACAGCTTTTCTGTAGAGAACCACTCTTTTGGGAGCTAGAAATTGGGAGGATCACAGTTATTTAATCAATCCTGAGCTCCATGTAATTCCTCCCACCAAAAAAAGGTGGCAGCTTTCCCATCTCAACAAATAGGATCTGATGACATTGCTCTCTGTGAAGCCTGCATCCTAGGTAGGAGAACTTTAGTTTTTTTTGCTTGTCCTAGGCAAAAACTCAGAACCCGAAAAAATAACTAAAGCAAAAAAAGGATGGAGGTAAGGCTAAAGTGGTAGAGCTGCTAAGTATGTGAATTAAAACCATAGTACTGCTGTTCCCCCTCAAAAAACAAAAGCAAAAAACTTCTAGATTATCTAGGCAATTAGTATTCAATATGTTCTTTATTCTCAGTCAAAAGCCTTTAAACTTACCTCAGGTTATAAGATGAATTCAACCCATCATTGTCAAAGTAATTGTAATGAATTTAGATATTGAAATTATTTGCTTCAAAACCACTTTGAAGTAATCTCCAAGGAATATCAGTCGTTTCATGTGTTATTTCTGAAAGTCTCAACATTTTCCAGCTCTGTAATTAAGAGTTTGTAGGATGAGAGTTCAGTCATTTACTTATGGTTTGGCTCCTTTCCCTATCCCTTTAGACTTATTTTTGTTTATAATGCTTAAGGTATTTTTCTGCTTTCCATAAATCTATTAAAATTTTTATTTTATTTTCTTGGGTGCCAGTCTTGGGGCTAGAACTCAGGGTTTAGAAGCAGTCCCTGAGTTTTTGTGTTCAAGGCTAATGCTCTTGTGCCTCAGCGCTACTTCTAGCTTTTTTGGTAACTAATTGGAGGTTAAGAGTTAGTTTCACAGGGGGCTGGGAAGGTGGCTCAGTGGTAGAGCGCTTGCCTTGCATGCATGAGGCCCTGGATTCGATTCCTCAGCACCACATAAGTAAAAAGAAAAAAGCCGGAAGTGGCGCTGTGGCTCAAGTGGTAGAGTGCTGGCCTTGAACTGAAGAGCTGAGGGACAGCGCCCAGGCCCAGAGTTCTGGCCCCACGATCGGATCCCCCCCAAAAAATAAAGATTCTCACAGTCCTCAGATCTCAGCCTCCTGAGTAGCTAGGATTACAGGCATGAGCCATCAGTTTATGGCTTAAAATTTTTATATTTTTTCAATAAATGATCAAAACCACTTCAAGAAAAGGTTGAAAGAAGATTCGTGATTTTTACCCAAAAAAAGTAAATAATTTCCTTCAGATTGGGTGGGTCAGTGAAATTGAGTAAATTAAAAAAATCTATATTGCATTTATGACATCTTATATTTGAATATCACAGGTAATGTTATTTTCTTTTTAAAAAAGTGTTTTTTGGGTTGTTTTTGTTGTTGTTGGTCATGGGGCTTGCACTCTGGGCCTGAGCACTGTCCTTGAGCTTTTCAGCTCAAGGCAAGCACTCTACCACTTGAGCTACAGCGCCACTTCCTTTAAAAAGTTTTTGATCCCTATACTGGGGCTTGAACTCAGGGTATGGGTGCTGTCCCTGAGCCTTTTTTTTGTTGTTGTTGTTGGTTGTGGGGCTGGAACTTTGGGCCTGGGCATTGTCTCTGAGCCACAGCACTACTTCAGGTTTTCTAGTCGGTAATTGGAGATAAGAGTCTCATAGACTTTCCTGCCTGGGCTGGCTTTGAACCTTGATCCTCAGATCTTAGCCTCCTGAGTAGCTAGGATTACAGGCTTGAGCCACTGGCACCCAGCTCCCTGAGCCTTTTTGCTTAAGGATTGTGCTCTATCATTTGAGCTACAGCTCCACTTCTGGGTTTTTTAGTAGTTAATTGGAGATAAAAGTCTCACAGACTTCCCTGTCCAGGCTGGCTTTGAACTACAATCTTCAGAGATCTCAGCCTCTTAAGTAGCTAGGATTACAGGTGTGAGATACAAGTTCCTGACTTTTACTAGAATATTTAGTTCTATCCTTTTTGTAGGAATGTGCCTTTGTCAGACAGCTCCTCCTTGGTAGGATGTCAGTTAGTCAGGTTTCATGTGTTTGTTTGAAAATTGTGTCATATTATTTCTCCCTGTTGTTGAATGCTTTTTGTCTGCATGTACAATCTTAGGTTGACAGCTATTTCTTAGTCCCCATAATTTTTTTTGTCAGTCATGGGGCCTGAACTCTGGGCCACAGCCACAGCACCACTTCCAGCCTTTTCTGCTTATGTGGTACTGAGGAATCGAACCCATGGCCTCATACATGCAAGGCAAGCATTCTACCACTGAGCCACCTTCCCAGCCCTCCCATAAGATTATATTGAGTCCTGCTTTGACTAGCATTATTTGGATATTTAGAAGTCTTGGTTCCAAATAGTGATTTTTTAAAAATGTTTATATTTGGGTTTGTTGTGCTGCTTTTTTTTAAAAATTTTTTATTGTAAAGATACTATACAGAGGGTTACAGTTACATGAGTAAGGTAATGAGTACACTTCCTATTGAGCATTGTTACCCCCTCCATTGTTTTCCCCCTACCATCTTTCCCTCCCTACCTTCCCCGAGGTTCTTTTT